CTATTCTATTCTGCAGTCTGTTCTATTCTATTCTATTCTGCAATCTGTTCTATTCTATGCTATTCTGCATTCTATTCTATTCTGCAATCTGTTCTATTCTATTCTATTCTGCAATCTGTTCTATTCTATTCTATTCTGCAATCTGTTCTATTCTATTCTATTCTATTCTATTCTATTCTATTCTATTCTGCAATCTGTTCTATTCTATTCTATTCTATTCTATTCTATTCTATTCCATTCCATTCCATTCCATTCCATTCCATTCCATTCCACAGGCTTCCAATGTGACTTTGATGTAGTGATTGAGAGCTCAAGTTTATCTTTTGAAAAATGACTCAAAACCGAATTGGTATTTTTTCACTTCCTCGTGTAAGCCCAGCAATCTCTGTGAGAAACGCTCCTTCCCTCCACCCAGGGGTGAATTCCCACATTTGCTAGTGGAGCACTGATCTTAAACACTCTGGTTTCAACCACAACTTTCACACCTTCCTCATCAACATTTTTTTTTTAAAAAAAATGATGCCGCTTCTTCCTTCGCTGTTTTGCATTACTTTCCGCCACCTGATTTTTTTTTTTTAAAGGTAAGCAGAATTTGTGCGGGTGTTGTTTTTTGTTTCGGTTTTTTTTTTTTTACAGTGTTGGTTTTTAATGGACGGTCATTTGCAAAGCTGTGATCTGTAAATGCAAGGGTGGAACAGAGGGAAGAGAGTCGACTTCTGAAATGTATCATAAATGCAGATAGCCCCCGACTTAATAATAATAATAATAATAATAATAATAATAATAACAACAACAATAACAACAACAATAATAATAATAAAGTTGGAAGGGACCTTGGAGGTCATCGAGTCCAACCCCCTGCTCAGGCAGGAACCCTACACCATTTCAGACAAATGGCTGTCCAGTCTCTTCTTAAAAACGTCCAGTGTTGGAGCATTCACCGCTTCTGGAGGCAGGTTGTTCCACTGGTTAATTGTTCTCCCTGTCAGGAATTTTCTCCTTAGTTCCAGGTTGCTTCTCTCCTTGATTAGTTTCCATCCGTCGCTTCTCGTCCTGCCTTCAGGCGCTTTGGAGAATAGCTTGACTCCCTCTTCTTTGGGGCAGCCCCTGAGATATTGGAACACTGCTATCATGTCCCCCCTCGTCCTTCTCTTCGTTAAACTAGACATACCCAATTCCAGCTGCCGTTCCTTATATGTTTTAGCCTCCAGTCCCCTAATCATCTTTGTTGCTCTTCTCTGTACTCTTTCTAGAGTCACAACATCTTTTTTACATCGTGGTGACCAAAACTGGATGCCGTATTCCAAGTTTACTCCTTTAGCAACTTTTCAAAGTTATAATTGGATTAGAAGACTTCCAAAGCCCCTTCCCCAACTCTGTTAATTCTCTCAGATGAAATTTTTGTTTCATCTTGTGAATTATTCTGTTTGTCAGTATAAACGTATGTCAGCAACAGCCTTGGAGTCTGCTTGGAGTTAGATACGAATCAAAGGAATTCAAGGGAGGTCGGCCTTAATTTGCTTGTAGCTATGTAGGGATTCTAGGCTGATCCCTCTTTGAACTCCGCCCCAGATTCTGCCACATCCTTCTCTTACACAATCCTAAGGGGGGGGGGGAATCCCTACCAATTCCTTCCCGTAAGCATGAAGAATTCCCAGATGAGGGTGGAAGTTTGTTCTCCGAGCTTGTGGGTTGGTTTCGAAAGGTTTCGTTGTCAAGCTAGGTAACATCTTCAGCGGAGTTTAGGGGATGTCAGTGTCAGCGTCATCCCCTAAATTACGCTGAAGATGTTAGCTAGCCTGGTAACGAAATATCTGGAAACCAACCCATAAGCTCGGAGAATCAACCTCCACCCTAGCTGCAGATAGGGGTTCATGCAGATTTGGGGTTGTTCCCATCTCTGAAGAACCCACAATTTCCTTGCTTGAAAGATCTTCATTTGGTTGGCCAGAGGTCACACTTCTGCTCTCCGGGATCAGGGAACCCCACACTTTCAGTGCCTTTCCCCCCCCCCCCCAGCCTTCCCAGGAATTGGGCCACGTCTGTAGTCAAACGGCAAAGGTGGTTTAATTTGCTACGGAGTGTTCCAGCACAGGCTGCAAGAAGGTGTCACCGCCACTCAACCTCCTGCAAGCCTGAACAAGAATTTCATCATGGCCCTTATTATCCTCCAGCAGATGCTGTTCCCCAACGGCTTAAGTTTTGTTTTGCCAAGAGAAGGATATGGAGGTCTTTAAAAGGCTGCCCTGGGGAACGCCTGGCCCCTGTTTTGACTATTGTTTTTCATCAGCCTCCGGTGTTTTCCCCTAACGGGCCAGGGGCTGAATTAATTTCACCCAGGTTTATTATTGGAAAGAAAGTCACCTTTATAGGCTGGGCGGTGAGCAACGGAGACACGTCAGAATCGCTCCCTGCTATTAAAGGTGACCTGCCAGGCGATGCAGGTGTGTCACAGACCTTTGTGTAACTGATAACCCAACCGGTTGTTATTGCCGTCGCTGCTCCCTCGATAACCATTGCTCAGGGTGAGTGTCAAAGCAACACCACCGATGCACAAGACAGGCGTATTGGCAAGCTCGGGGGAACACCAAACATTTTCAGAAAATAGTTGGGGCTGGGTGTAGAGCAGGGGTGTCAAACTCAATTTCATTGAGGGCTGCATCAGCATTGCAGTTGTCCTCGGGGGGGCAGGTAAGTGTGGCCAGGGTGGGCACAGCCTACTGGGTGGGTGTGGCTGGGGTGGGTGTGGCTTACTGGGTGGGCGTGGTCAGCTCTACATCATTCGCATCAAGGGTGCCTGTGGGGGCCTGGGCAGGAGTGGGACAGATCTGAGGGTCTCTGGCAGAAGGAGGTGGGACAAGGGCAAGGGCCAAGGCATGGTCCACTGGAAGAGCCTGCTGAAACCTCTCCCCTGGAGCCCATCAAGCCGGATATGTGAAGTAGGCGAGGGCCATTTGCTGGCCACTTCCAGGTGATGGTGCATTTCTTCATTCCTCACAAAGGGTGACCCCTCCCCAGCATGCACCCAGGGGGCAGGGCCGATGCAGCAGGGGCCAGTCCCTCGCTGTTTCCAAACGGCCTTGTGGAGCTAAGACTGAATGCGTTTCGGCATAAATGGCCACCACAAAATTGTACATTGGCTCCTGGCCGGCCTGTGTCAGGGCCAAGGCAGCGGGGGCTGTTCCCTCACTGTGTCCAGGATGGCTTCGCGGGCCACATGAAACCATGTCACAGGCTGCATCCGGCCCCCGGGCCTTGGGTTTGACATGTCTGGTGTAGAGAGATTAATCCGGGCGCAGAGACCCCAAAACCTTCAGAGGAAGACTGAGCATGCTCAGTAGTCACAGAGCAGTGACTGACTAGAAGGGATGAATTGGCCAAAAGGTACAAGAGGAATATTTTGTTGCAGGACTCGCTGGTTACTTGCCAAAATTAATTTAGTTTGGGTTTTACCGTAACCATACCACTTGCCGGCTGCATGACCAACGTGTGTCCAGATATGTATACAGGAAGTCCTCGTCTGAGCGACCACAACTTAGCAACATTTTTGTCGTGAAGTGAAACATTGGTTAAGTGAATTTGGCTTCACTTTATGACCTTTCTTGCCACCGTTGTTAAGTGAACCTCTACATTTGTTAAGTGTCAAGGTTCCGACTAATGGAACACTTCAAAGAACTTCCAGACATTGTTTATTCTAAAAAGTCTTTAATCATATGAACACAGTGTCGGCACAGTTGTTAAGCGAATCGCTGCAGTTTTTAAGTGAGCAACACGGTTGTTAAGTGAATCTGGCATCCCCATTGGCTTTGCTCACCAGAAGGTCGCAAAAAGGGACGACGTGAACCCGGGAGCGTCAGAAATATGAGTCTGTTGCCAACTGGGATCACAAGACCATGGATGGGGACCCTGCCACGGTTGTGAGTGTGAAAAATAGTCATAAGTCACTTTCTTCCCAGTGCCGTTCCAACTTTGAACGGTCACTAAAGGAACTGTTGCATGTTGTGGGTTAGCTGTCGTGGATTGCGGAAACTCAGGTTTAAGTATTAGCTCAGGAAGTTGGCTAGGCTGCCATAAATGCCAGCAGTGTACAAAAAATCTATTCCCGATGAATAGCTCGTTTGTCCTTCTTCCACGCCCTTTTTAACTATTGTGTGACTCAAAATGGAAGAACGTAACCCTGAAGTCATTTTCGACCTTCCAGATGCAGCCAGCAACTCTCACCCTTCCAAAATTCTCCCGTGACTGTGAATGTAGGAATAAAAACAGCAAGCACCACGATTAGGGGAGGTTTTTTGCTACGAAAGAGGAGAAGATAAGGGCAAATCCAGACTGTTAACAAGAGAAGATGCTGGCGGAGAAACAGTCCTTTAAAACAATGTTGGCCTTGATATTGGGAAATACCCTGCCAAGCCACAAAGAGGTTAATGTTTTCAGCTGTTCTTTTTCCCACGCTGCAAGGTGAGCGCTTTAAAGCAAAAATACAGGTGGTTCTCGACTTGCAACAGTTTCGTTTAGTGACCGTTTTAATGTCACAATGGCACTGAAAAGGGACTTAGGACGTTTTTTCACACTTAGGACCCTTGCAGCATCCCCAGGGTCCCATGATCAAAATTCGGACACTTGGCAACTGACTCATATTTATGACGGTCGCAGTATCCCAGGGTCAGGTGATCCCCCTTTTGTGACCGTCTCACAAGCAGAGTCAATGGGGAAGCCCGGATTCATTTAACGACCGTGTTCCTAACTTAAAAACTGCAGCGCTTCGCTTAACGACGGTGGCAGGAAAAGTCATAAAATGGGGCAAAACTCCCTTAAGAAATGTCCCACAATTCTGAGCTCAATTGTGGTCGCAGAACACAGAGAGTTCGTGAGGAATTTTATTTAGGTGCTCTTATTTTTATTTATTAAACAGTTTATATCGTATCCTCAACTCACCTGAACGGAGAATTGGCACGGCTTTGTTTATTTATGTCTCTCTCTCTTTTTTTTCCCCCCCACAGAATTCTCAACCCGAAAGAGGAAATTTTCTGAGATCTGGCTTCTAACTTGTAACATAGATAAGTGCGTTGCCGGTGACACGTCCTCGGCCTTTTTATATTGCCCTCTGGGAATGCGTTCCCACCCATTCAGTCCCTTTATTGACAATTAAAGCAGTAAAACCATTCAACATTTACGGTTGGAACGGAAATGGCTAATAAGATGGAAACTGCTGATAAGGTGGTGGTGGTGGGGGGGAGAGAAACACAACACGCCACATATCCTTCGTGAAAAGTGCCATAAAATAATCAGGATGCCAGGAGGCTGAACACCTGCAATTTTTTCTTTCGTTTTGTTTTTTTTAAGCCTTAGTTGCAAAGTTTGATTCCGCCCTCTGAGCGAAAAGACGTCTGTGCCCAGACACAAGGTGCAGAATTTCCCTCGTAGGGAAATTAGCCCGATAAATAAGCTAGTAGCATAAGCTAGTAAATGACCTAATAAATAACCTAGTAGGGAACAGCTTGATAAATAAGCTCTCTGATGGTTTCTTATTCATTTCTGCCACCAGAATCTTCAAACTTACAATAGCCTTGATTGCCTACTGAAATTAAATAACTAAGCCTGTCAATGTAAAGGCATCCTTGAATTTGGCTCCAAAGTGGTTTATTTATTTGTTTGTATCCTGCCTCTATTATTTTTACAAATAACTCAAGGTGGTGAATATACCTAACACATCTTCCTTCTATTTTCCCTACAACAATTACCCTGTGAATATAATATAATATAATATAATATAATATAATATAATATAATATAATATAATATAATATAATATAATATAATATAATATAATATAATATAATATAATATAATATAATATAATATAATATAATATAATATAATAATATAATTATAATATAATATAATATAATATAATATAATATAATATAATATAATATAATAATATAATATAGTATACATAACATAACATAACATAACATAACATAACATAACATTACAATACAATACAATACAATACAATACAATATAATATATAACAACATAACATAACATAACATAAAATAGTAGTAGTAGTAGTAGTAGTAGTAATAATAATAATAATAATAATAATAATAATAATAATAATAATAATAATAATAATAATAATAATAATAATAATAATAATAAAGTTGGAAGGGACCTTGGAGGTCATCTAGTCCAACCCCCTGCTCAGGCAGGAAACCCTATACCATTTCGGACAAATGTCTGTCCAATAGAAGAATAGAATAGAATAGAATAGAATAGAATAGAATAGAATAGAATAGAATAGAATAGAGCTGGAAGGGACTTTGGAGATCGTCTAGTCCAGCCCCCTGCTCAAGCAAGAGAACCTATACCAAGTGGGTTGGGCTAAAAGAGATGGACTGGCTGAAAGACACCCAGCTGACTTTCATGGCTAAGGTGGGACTAGAACTTTCTGTCTCCCGGTGATTGGCCTAAAGTCACTTAGCTCTGCCATATCACCTAGCTGCCTCTATCACGGAAGGAAGGAAGGAAGGAAGGAAGGAAGGAAGGAAGGAAGGAAGGATTCTAAGGGCTGAAGTCCATACTTAAAATGTTTCTCAACCGTTGCAACTTGAAGATACGTGGACTTCAGCTCCCAGAATCAAATTCCCATGCTGGCTGGGGAACTCTGGGAGTTGAAGTCCACACATCTTCAAGTTGTGAAGGCTGAGAAAACACTGGGTTAAAGGACCCCCATCTCTTGGGCAATTCTGCCAAGGTGAATCTTAGGGAGACCTTGGCATGACCTCTACATAAGGATGCCCAAGGGGTTTCCTTAAGAGCGCTTCCCCCTCCCCAGTGCCACAAGCACATAATTGTGCCCCTGGTGTGTTACAGGAGCCTGGCTCAGAATCCGTTTTTTCTACCCCAGCCCTCCTGTCAAGAGCAAGCCAAGCCTCCTTCCTTGGCAGGGATGCTGCTAGGGATCATGATGGATGGATGGATGGGTAGACTCAGGGGCTGCTGTGCGTGCATTAAAAACACCGGTCCTGATGCTGACTCCTGCCATAGCTCTGAAGAGCTTGGGGGGAGCCATGCAGCCTCGCCAAACTGTAATTTTTACCATGTTAGGGAAGAGGAATACCTATGGGGAAATATTCCAATTAAAACCATTTTCCTTAATATGGATTGAAACTAATCAAGGAGAGAAGCAATCTGGAATTAAGGAGAAACTTCCTAACAGTGAGGACAATTAACCAGTGGAACTGCTGGCCTCCAGAAGTTGTGGGTGCTCCATCACTGGAGGTTTTTAAGAAAAGACTAGACAGTCACTTATCTGAAATGATATAGGGACTCCTGCTTGAGCAGGGGGTTGGACTAGAAGACCTCCAAGGTCCCTTCCAGCTCTATTCTTATTCTTTTATTCTTGTTCTTATTTTTTTATTCTTATTCTTATTCCTATTCCTATTCTTATTCTTTTATTCTTATTCTCTTATTCTTTTATTCTTATTCTTTTATTCTTATTCTTATTTTATTCTTATTCTTATATTCTTATTCTTATTTCATATTATTTTCATTCAGTGAAGAGGTTGATTTGACTTCCACCCAATTCTTACTTCTGAGCCTACTTATTTTTTTATGTGGGGGGCACCGTGCAACCCCCAAGCTTTGCAGTCTAAGAGCCAAAACTTGTCCACCTGTGAGATGAAGAGATATACAGGTAGTCCTGGACTCAAGACCCACAATTGAGCCCAAAATTTACGTTGCTAAGTGAGACATGGGTGAAGCAAGTTTTGCCCCATTTTACGACTTGTCCTGCCCCATTTGTCAAGTGAATCGCTGCATTTGATAAGTCAGTCACACTATTGTTAAGTGAATCAGGCTTCCCTCATTGACCTGGCTTGTCAGACAGTCGCAAAAGGGGATCACATGATCCCGGGGCCGTCATAAATGTGAGTCAGTTGTCAAGCATCCGAATGTAAATCCCGTGACCACGGGGATGGTCATAAGTTTGAAAAAGGGTCAAAAGTCGCTTTTTTCAGTGCCGTTGTAACTTTGAACAGTCACTAAACTGTGGGAGGACAGCAGCACCCCCCCAGAGAAAGAAATATTTTGGGGATATTTAAAAGGCAGAATATTATATTTCCCCAAAGGATCTTAAAGGCAGAACACTCCCCTCCCCCACACAAGTCTGTCTGCCCCCAATCAGAAACCAGGTCTGCAGAAATGCCGATGTGATAATCTTGTCAGAAAGATTGGAGCCAGGAAGATTGGAGCTGTTGGGATTAGAAAGAAAGATCCCTAGAATCAACAATCCCTCACACCAAAAATCCAACAGTCATCAGCCACACCTCCAGGGAAGCAGGATATGACCTTTGGGACATAATAGGATTAACCCACCACCATCAGAATACCAGAAAGGCACACTCAGACTCAGGTCAAAGTTCATGCCACAGGAGCAACTCCAAACAAAAGCCCAAGAAGGTATAAAAACCCACCACTCCCAGCTACATGTGGTCAGCTTTCCCAGAGCCATCTTTCTGTCTGGCTCTGCTCTTCAATAAACTCCAACCTTCTTTCTAAAGCAGTCTCCATTTTGTTTATTCCCGGCTTGGACTGGACCCCGATGAAGATTTTTCTCTCAACAAAACGAACCGTTGTAAGTCAAGGACTGGGGTTACCTTCTGCGGGCTCCTCCCACTCCTGCCTACATCTTCTCCTTTCGCTTTGTCAAGGCTGCCGGTTTCCTTTCCCTCTCTGCTTTCCCTGGTCCAGGACCACGTAAAAAATGCAACAGGTTTTTCTTCTTTTGCTATCGTAACCAACATCTGCATAGCAGGGTTATTAAAAAAAAACAACAACATTGGCAGTTTAATTTGATCTCGTGTCATAAACCTGCCAAAACAGAAAATCTGCAAATGGATCTCTGAGGGTTTTTGTTTTTGTTTTTTTTCTCCTAAATACGGCCGCAGGGGCAATTTGGTTTGGAGAGGAGCCTCAGTAAGAGATCCGTCTTTTGTTTTTCCTGCACTATTTGACCAACTGAAAATCTCCCCCCCCCCCAAACAAAAAACAACCCCAAGCAGTTTGTGAGAGGAGGTGGGGTTGGGAAGGAAATGTGCAAGGTCCATGTTGTGAGAGTTTGTGGAGAGGAATGGGAATGCAATGGAAGAGAGCCGTTGATGGGGAATATTTGGCAACTTAGCCCAGGTGACGAGAAAGCCGTGAAGAAATGTTGGGAGTCACTCACGGAAGTTGTGCCTCAGTGAATTCACTATAAACCGAGAAATTCCATCTGTGGTTTTGGAATTCTGCATTTATCCCAGATGACGAAAGTTACCTTATTGTCTTACTCTTCCTTCCTGGCCCCTTCGCATGAGGCTTGCCTGCCAATGGATGCTATTTGGCAGAAAATAAAGAGTTTCCTTCCCTTTTTGACTCAATCTTTTTTAAACAAAGTCTGTACAGTACCAACCTTTTCAAAAATTTGAAAACAAAACATGGATTAGACCAGCGGTTCTCAACCTATGGGTCGCGATGACCCCATTTGGGGTCGATCGACCATTTCACGGGGGTCGCCAAGCAAGGCTGTCTGCCATTTTTTCCCCTTTTCTGGTGGGTGCCTTACCTCCCTTGAGCTGGGCCAGCTGGTGGTCGGCCTGCTCTGTCTCTGCCGCTTGCCAGCTACGCCTCGGCCGGCGCAGGGGGCGGAACCACGCATGCGCAGCGCTCCCGGGCAGGGAACGTCCTCGACTTACGACCGGTTTAGTCCTCGACTTACGACCGGTTTAGTCCTCGACTTACGACCGGTTTAGTCCTCGACTTACGACCGGTTGGGGGTCGCGGCATTAAAAAGGTTGAGAACCACTGGATTAGACAGTGCGTGGATTACAGGGTTAAGTAGTTTGGTATTTTCCAATATTTTTTTTTGTCCAGATATGTGGACTTCATTTTCCAGAATCCTCCTGCATGCATGGCTGTTGCTAAGAATTCTGGGAAATGTGTTTATGCTTTATGAGTTAGATATTGTCTTCTCTCTAACCAAGGAAGTCAATTTGGTTATCAGTGAAGTCTGTTTGTCTGATCTATCTCTCCATCTATTCATCCATCCATCCCTCTCTTCCTTCCTCCATCCATCTTCCCATCCATGCATCCATGACTCCATCCATCCATCCATCCCTTCCTTCATCCATCCCTTCCTCTATCCATCCACCTCTCCGTCTATCTCTCCATCCATGC